TGAGGGCGAGTTTTTTTCCATATTTGTTTTAAATTTTATTTTTTTATTTTTTTACTTGTTTATTCTATTTTCTTAATTATTTTTTACATTTGCTGTTTTGTTCTCATAATAGTTTTTATTTATTGACGAGCTAAGCGTCTGGCTTTGCGACATCTGGCATCTGGCGTCTATATGATAAGCTCAAACGACCGTCGTTYGCTTTGTTTACATACAAATGTTGTTGTATCTGTGTGAACGTGTTTTTTATACAATTATTTGTATATATAATGTGTCTGTATAGGCGCTAAGCTTCCGCGATTTCCTGATGCAATCCATATAAGCTAGCGAGTCAGTCAGTCTGAATTGTGCGCAGCTAGCTAAGTAGATAAGCAAGGGGTCCCAAAATGTGTTAAGTGGCTGATGAGCGTACAATTTGATAGTAAAATTAACATAAGAAAAAAATATTTTTGCACACATCTACGTATACATATACAAATATTTTTAAAACATTTTTTAAAGTTCACTCATGCCTTTACCTGCAATATTTCGCGCCAAAAAGACAACTTGAAATTATAAAAAATATACGCATCAACAGTAAAAACAAAAGTACGCGTGTTCACTTACCACTTGCGAGTACATACATATTTTTAAAGTTACATTGCAATCCTCAATTGGAATAACTCAGCTGAGTTCTCCTTAATTTTGCATTTCACACTTGTCGAAAATTCGAAACTCTTCTAAAATCTATCACCACTCTTTATTACCTTTTATTACATGCATAATATTTTGAAGGTCAATTTCGAAGAATAAAATATTTGCAATAACAATGCAAGTAATCACTCATTTCCATTTCTGCAGTGATGAGCAAGCAGCTATTTCTCCTGCTGAGCACACAGCTTATGTCACGCATATAGCAATGCATGAACGTGTGTGTGCGAGCACTTTGCGCAGCATTGATATGCAGGTGGGACTATTAGATGTAAGAGCATAACTGCTGAAGAGAGCTTTAAAAGTGAAAATGAACTAATGTAAACGAAAAGGTGCTGGAAATTTTGGTGAGTGGGCGAATTCATCCTAGCGTTTTGGGAAGGAGTTTTAAGAGATCAAATTTGCAGAGTAGTAAGAGTGAAGTGGAGGTAAACATAAAGGCGGCGACAGACTTCAAGCGACATCAACATAATATTAAAATACATACATTCTTAAGGACACATTTATGTAGTCGTGCAGCTGTCTAAATAACCGTGTCCATAAGAACATGTGTGTTTTAGTAGCTGACAATAGTTGATAGAATAGTCTGTCGCCTCCTTTTTGTTCACAGCGTTAGGCGTATGCATAAGGACTGAAAAAGAGTTTTAATCATTTTAGTAGTATTTGAAATAAATATAAATAAAAGGGAAATTAATTTATTTATTTTAGAAAGTAGTAGTAGAAGTATGTAAATGTACATAATAAGACTTAGTTAAATACTGAAAGAACACCTAAGAAGAAGAGTATGTATAAGCTTCTTTCTATGGGGAGCATAATATCCTATGAGCGTTTAATAAAGGTATTTATGCTGTAAACCATATAAAAAAGTATGTACATAAGAATATGTAAGAATAAATGGAAATTATTATTATTTATGGAGGCCACTGAGCGTATGCAAAGTTAAATGCAAAAATCTGCTTCGAGAACTTCGTACTTATTGAAAAATTCGTTCTTCAGGGAGCAAACGAAAATACAACCAAATAAATAAATAATATTAACCAAAAGGTTAGGGGAAGACTGTTCGCCGAGCAGCTTTTTCGACACTTTTATACTCAAAAAAGTCCAAATAGAGAGCTTTTGTCGTAGAGTGCATATGTAGAATCTTCACTCAATGTTGTAAATCTCCAAAGACCAATATGACACAAAAAACGACAGGTGATATAGAGAGAACCTACAAATATTGCTGAACAATCAGTTAGAGTAGTAAGTGAAATAAACTTCTGGCAGTGTAGTTCTGGTTAACTCTCTTGGTAATCTTTTTACAAAGCGAATTTTTGCGCGATCCTTTTCTCGATATAGAAAATGACTTAACAGGTCAATTGAAAAGTTCTCGGCCTGACACATAGATGGCGCTACTAGAATTAAATCTATATTAGTTTTAGTTAGGCTGGACTTTCTAACGACACGTGTATCAATTTGATAACTGGCGGATCATTAGTTTGTGAATTATATCATTTTGCGCTAAGTAACTTTTGTAATTGAAAAAAAACAATGGATTTAAAGAATAAACTATTGACTTTTTTACGATGAACGCGCTCCACAGCGTGAAGAAATCATATAGAGTAAAGTCA